AAAAACCTTTTCTCCTTCATAGATCCAATGATCAATTTAGAATTACAGAATAACTCTCTTTTAAAAGTAGATATACACTTTTATGATCTTAATGAACTCTTTTAGAATAATGCAAATGAATTTGGCCAAGATGTTTTTGTATATGACTTTTTCATAATAGAGTTCGTAAACTTCTTCTGAAAAATTATAGGTATTTATAGACAATTATTTCTTGGGTTGTGTCTTTTCATGAAGAGTTGTAACTCTTTATAATTTTTCAGAAAAGATACTTTAGTAATCGATTACAAGACTTGGTAATCGATTACAATGGTTTATAAGTTCAAAATGTTTGAAACATTGTATCATTTAAATTCAAATTTTTGAAGTTTCATCTTCTAGTAATCGATTACAAGGTCTAGTAATCGATTACCAGAACATATTTTGTATTCAGAATATGAACTTTGAAGTTTCCTTGTTCTGGTAATGGATTACAAGGTCTGGTAATGGATTACCAGAACATATTTTTGCATTGTTTCAAAAACTTTTATGTAGAAAACTTCATATTAATAATTTCTTTCACAAATCTCTTTTAAGAAATGATTTGAACTATTGTTTAAAGTTTTTGTTAAGTCTTTTGAAAACATTTTTACTTACTTTCAAAAGATTTAAAACTTGCTTAAATTTAAAGAGATTAATTTGAAATTTTTGAAAACTTATTCTCAAGGCCAAGCATACTTGCAATTCTAAAAGATTCTTTTACATTCTTAGCTAAGTTGACAAGACTTATCTATGTAACACTTGAGATCTTGTTCTTGCATCAACTTATTTTAGTTCAACCTTGATTCTTCTTCAATACTTTATAATCACTTTGGCATCATCAAAACATTTGTGCATATTTTCTTTCACACCAATCATTCTCATCCTTAACTCGTATGAAAGATAAGAATATTCTACAACTCATATGAAGACACTCAGTCCTAATTCCACCATCTACCTGGTCAAAAATTGTAAAAACCGCAACCATTTTCCTAAATGCTGACAGCTTGACCTTTTCTCACTAAAAATGTCATAACTAGAGTTATAGACCTCCTTTTTGGGTGATTCTAGTGCCATTGGAAAGCTAACATCCAAGGGTACAACTTTCATGAAGACCTCAATCTAGGTCATCTACACTCACCGCTGCAGCGCTCAAATCAGCCCTTTAGCTCTGAATTTCTGCCAGCTCAATTTCCTTTCCACAGCCATGGCTGCAAGTTTCTGTCACTCCAATTTTTCCCCACAGCCATGGCTACAAGTCTCTGCCATCACGTTTTTCCCTCCCATGGCTATGGTTGTGAATCCACAGCTATGACTGTGAGTTTCTACAAGTTCATTTTTTCTCCACGGCTATAGCTGTGAATCCATGGGTATGGCTGTGGGTTTCCACAAGTTCATTTTTCCTCCACGGCTATAACTATGAATCCACGGCTATGGCTATGGGTCTTAGAATTTCTAAAACTCCATGAATTTCACCTTCTATTTCACTAAAATCCTTCATGAACCTGCAATCCAAGGAGACCCAATCCATGCTACAACTCAAATGCAACATTACTAACCACATGCAACACAAAAACTTCAAGAATCACAGCATGCATGCATCAGTTTTCAAGGAGATCATCAAGAACAACAAAGTTTCAACTTTCGCAAGCAAACATCTTCAACCCCCTTTTTCCCAGTTTAGATTTTCAAAATTTACACAAATTTTGAGTTCTCAACTCAATCAACAACCCCACAAATTATAAAAATCTAAAATTTCTAGCTTCCCTTACCTCAATCTCAAGCTCCACGAGGGAGAAGAAGAGAAGAACGGAGAAGAAGAGAAGAACGGAAAAGAAGAGAACGGAGAGGAAGAAAATCTTTCTTCATAGCCTAAGCTCCACCACTTCAGCCTTAAGAAAGAAAACCACAATGAAGGAGCTTTAGGAAGAAATGAGAGTGAAGAGGGGAAGAAAAAGAAACAATGGGACAAGGGTTTCGGGTCTCACAAATAAATTGAATTTGCATTCCATAAAAAATTATCAAAGGTGATCATTTAATTAATTTGACATCATGGTGACAAGATCCTAACCACACGCGCGCGCACATACACACACACATACAAACACACACACACACATATATATAAGGAAAGATCTACTTACTCTAAGAGGAATTCATGAGACTTATTCTACTCAATAACTTATATTCTACATGAAATTTATACGATTCAACTACTAAATTAAAATTTTCTAAATACATAGATTAAGTCTATAATTTTTCAAAATTTTGAAAATCATATACTATTTTGTTATATAAATTCAAATCAACATATAAAATGTTTTCATGATTATCTATCAATTTGAATTAATGAAACTAAGTATCAAATAATTTTAAAATTTTATAAATATTTATATACTTGATCTATGCATTAAAAATTTATAATTTAACGATTTCGATCGTAAAATTTGATATAGTATATAAATTATCGAATATATTAAGTCTACCAAAACTTATTTTTGAAATAAATAGATTCCTCCTCCTCCTCCCCCCTTCC